AAAGATCAATGTTTCAGACAGTTTTCTGGCAAGACTGTTCAAGAAAAAAAAAAAAGGCACATTAAACAGCATGAGGAATGAAAAAGACCTAACCACAGATGCTGTATGACAATAAATAATTTAAAAACATTATAAACTACTCTATGGCAATAAAATTTAGAACTTAGATTAAATGGGCAAATTCTTAAAATATATATAGTATATTAAACATAACTTAATAAAATAAGAAGTAGAAAAACCTGAATATCCTATAATCATTTTTTTTTTTTTTTTTTTTTTGCGGTACGCGGGCCTCTCACTGCTGTGGCCTCTCCCGTTGCGGAGCACAGGCTCCGGACGCGCAGGCCCAGCGGCCATGGCTCACGGGCCCAGCCGCTCCGCGGCACGTGGGATCTTCCCGGACCGGGGCACGAACCCGTGTCCCCTGCATCGGCAGGCGGACTCCCAACCACTGCGCCAGCAGGGAAGCCCCTCCTATAATCATTTTTAAAAAGCATCAGAAGTCCTTCCATGGATAAAAAGACCCGTCCCAGATGGTTTTATAGGCAAATTCTACCCAAACTTATTATTCTAGGAACAAATAATTCAAATCTTACACAAAGATTCCAAAACACACAAAAAAGAACTACTCCAACTCATTTTATGAGGCCAGCCTAACCTTGATGCCAAAACCTGACAAGGATATAATGAGAAAGGAAAATTACAAGCTATTACACACATGAACATAAATGTAAATGTTCTTTAAAAAAACTAGTAAACTGAATCCATTAAAAAACTAATAGATCATGATCATGTTGGGCTTATTCCAAGAATGCAAGGTTAATTTAACATTTAAAAATATCAATTAATATAACATTCACAGATTAAAGGAGTAAAATCATATAATCATCTCAATAAATACTGAAAAAACATTTGATAAAATTCAATATCAATTCATGATGGAAAAAAAAAAACTCTTAGCAAGCCTTCTTGGAAGAAGGAAATTTCCCTAAACTCTTAAATAGAGGTTTAAATAGAAAAGCATGGAATTTTTTTTCAGGTAACTAGGAATAAACCTAGTAAACATCAGCAAATTCTTTATAAAGAAAATTATAAAGCTTCATTTAAAAAGTATTTTCTAAAGGCCTAAATAATTAGAGATATCTAATTTTTCCCAAACTAAGTTATTAGATTAAATGTAATTCCAATCAAAATCTCAACAGATTTTTTCGGTGGAACGTGAAAAACCAATTTGAAAATTTATATGGAGGCTCAAAGGCCTGAGGGCAGCCAGGATATCCCTGAGGAGCAAGTTACAGGGGTGGACTGACCTCATGTATAATAAAGTTGTAAGAATGACGACAAGAGAGGCAGTCACACAGAGATGGGCACCCTGAACCAACGGAACCAAGTGGAAAGCTCACAAGCAGCTCCTCACACAGATGGACATTTGGTTTAAGACAAAAGTGGCCCTGGGGAGAAACCGCAAAAGGAATCTTTTCAATACACGTTGCTGGACAAGTGGGTATCCACGTGGGAAAAAATTACCCTGGATCCCTTACACCTCACATACATAAAACAGTCAATTCCAGACGGACTCCTAGCTTCAAGGATGAAAGATAACATGAGAGAGCTTGAGAAGATAACTTAGGAAAGGTCTCTTAAACTAGACAGAAAAGTACTATCCATGGATATGATTGACACATTCGACTATACTTTAAAATTAAGAACTTCTGTTCATCAAAAGATATCATTAAGAGAAAGGAAAGACAAGACACAGATTGGGAGAAGCTTTTTACAACACATATAACCAACAAAAGCATTTTTAATCATAACATAAAGAAATCTTACAAATTAGTATGAAATGGACAACCAGATTAGAAAAGAAGAAAGACTTCTATACGTGCTTCATAAAAGAGAAAAGCTAAATGACCAATAAACACATGAAAGAGGTGTTCAACCTCATTAATAATGAGGACATGCAACTTAAACTCACAGTGTAATACCACTAACCAGCAACCAACAAGTCTGAGGGCACCAAGTGTTGGTGTCTGGAGTTGCGTGGGCCCGTGGGCACTGCTGCTGGAGATGTAAACGGACACAACCGCTATGGAAAACAGTTTGGAATTATTTGGTAAAACTGAAGATACACGCATCCTATGACTCAACAATTCCGCTCCTAGGTGTCTACCTGATGAAATGCTTGCACATGGGCACGAGGAGGACTGTGCAAGGATATTTACAGCAGCATCGTTCGTGTAACAGCTGAAAACTGAAAACAACCCACATATCCGCTTACGGTAAACCAGAAAAAGAAACCTTGGTATACTTATACAATAAAGTACTATTCGTCAGTATAAATGAACAAATTGCTGTTGTATGCAAGAAGGATGACCCTCAGAAACACAATGTTAAGCAATGAAAGCGAGTGGTGTAAGGAGATCATTAAAAAGTTTTTTAGAATTCAGGATGGTGGTTAACCTGTGCGGGGAGAGGTCAGGGAAGAGGACAGCAGGAGTGCACAGGAAATTCACAGGCAACACTAATGTTCTTTTTCTTAAGTTAAGAAGTGGGTATACATAGGTTAGTTGTATTATTATTTTAAATAGATTTAATAAATAGCCTTTTGCTTCTACTCAATATTTAATCATTTTAAAGGATTCTAAAATATTACATTTGAAGACACTGTATCAGTAGTAACACTATTAATATGAATGTCTCTCAATTACTGAGTGATCACCATGTATGAATGCCTTCAATGCACTGACCAGGACAGCTCACTGCCCCTGGGGGAGCCCCTGGTCTCTCCAGGGTTACCCGTCCTTCCTGTCACCATGAAGTGACAAAAGATGGTGGTTAAGTATCTTGAATACGTTTAACGGAGACCAAAAAGCTCTGTAATTCTCTGCATCAGGCTAAGAGGCCAGTGAAATCACTTCTTGGTTCAACAGTCGGACAGGCCTGACCCTAGCAGAGGGAAGGGGCCGAGGGAACATCCACTACACACTCAGTCTGTGGTAGGTTATGGCTGCTGGGACACGAGAGACACGAGGACATCCCAGGCTTCCGAGAGTCTGCAGCTCTGCTGGAGACAAGCTTGTCACAAACATACGGATAATGCTACATGGCAGTTGGGACAGGTGCCCACGTAATCTCATTTGGGTTGGTGTTGAAATGTTTTAGCCAGGTTGGGAAGAAACCATGGGATCCACTGACTATATCTGGCCCCAACTTTTAATAAAGTATTCTTGGGAGGAAAAAGTTTCCCATCACAAAGGAAGAAATACAAATATTTGAAAAGCAAGCAAGTCATCAGAGGCTCTCAGCCCTGCTGCCATATGCTTTGCTTTTTTGAGCTTACAGCTTAACATTAAAATAACAGGCTCGCATTCCTCAAATACCTCTACTGCTGTTCCTTCCTTCTACTACTTGAAAAGGCTGTCAGCTGCTGTCACTTGGAGGCTAAATTACCATATTAGCCACCACTGTTTACTGCTTACTGTGCAGTGTGGCTGTTAGTTTAATAAGCCTCCTCTCCTCTCAGATGACACCCCAGGCTGTCTACGCAAGAGCCACATGCTGGAGTCTAACATCTAACATCTAACGAACATCCAATGAAGGTGCTGGGCTTGGGAGGCAGGGGCAGCCACTTTATATAAGAGTATTGATGAGAGAAACTGAATTCAGTTGCATCAGGCTCTACTCCACTGAGGGCTAAAGGGCCGAGTATTTTTGAAAGTGCTTTAACCACTTGACGGTTCCACGGGCTAACCAGCTTTGGATAAAATCCAGAAATGTACTCCGTGTGCATTTTGAGATGTACTCCGTGAGCAAGTGGCAAAGCTCTTTAATTCACTCTGCATAAATAGCTGAACCTACAAGAGAAATCTCTAGTCAGAGGTTTCCTGGATTATAATGAGAATTTTCCCGATGGGGAGAAGAGAAGTGCCCTTTTCACTTGAAGACAAAGAAATGTTTGTAATGGAAATGTGTGAACCAATTTTCCCAGGGGAGTTTGCTGAAACGCACTGATTAAAACCACAGTGAGGTGATGAGGCAGAGAAATAAAGCCAAGGCGGATCCACTTAAAATTTGCATTATTTCTGGAAGTGGAGAGAGCCTGCCTTCCCTTCTCCCCCTGCCCCAGGCCGCCCCCACCCACTGCTGACCCTGCCACTTAGACAATGAGAACCTGCCAGCCTGCAGGACTGTTTACTGTTTCTGGCCACTGTGTACTGGTTACTAAGCTACTCCACTGAGGATAAAATGAGTAGCCCAAAAGACAATGTCCTTCTCAACAAAGCCTAATCAACAGGCCTGGATTCAGGGATTCAGAGGGAAGAGGTGAATAAGCAGACAATTCCAGCACATGGCAGTTTGTAATGACAATTCTTAGGTTACGAACAAATACTGCTGATTGATTTAAGGAATTCCATTTCCTAGAGAATAAACCTAAGACACAAAGAGGTCAGGTATCCAGATCAAAGTTGCCTAAAATATAGTAATCACCTGGAAATAATGGGAGTCCTTTATGTAACGTGGGACAAACAAGCTATAAAGCAATGTTTCCCAAATTTCAGTCACTGGAGTTTGTTCAACATAGCTTTTGCCACATCCACGTATATTAATATTTCCCTTTAGATTCACTTTAAAACAACTCATTTAAAAATTCTTAGTCTCCCTCTGAGCAATAATTTCTATGAAATCACACTTTGATAGGCAGCTGTATTTTCTCTAATGTACATTTTAAAATGCATAACTATTAAAATAAAAATGTTCATCCACAATGCATTTAAAATCATCTTGTATGTCTCAGAGGTACACATTGGGAAAGAATGGATGAGGTATTTCAACTCAGGTTGACCTGAAGACTATGTTTGTTTCTAAATATCATGAAAAAACAAGAGTAAAGGGGATTCTGTACTATTTGCCACCAGGATGTGCATGAAGGACTTAGATAGATTGGGAGAAGTAAATTCAATACCTTCTGTATAAGGAAAGACAAGTCCAGTATCACTTACATAAAATTTTCTGGATATTCACTCAGGGCCATGTCAATGATATTCAGAGCATCATGGTAATGCTTTTGTGCTGACAACAGGAGGGCAAGGAGGTGCAGGGAGTTGGCATCATCGCCTTGAAGTTGAAGAGCTTGGCGGACATACCCCAGGGCCTCTGGTATCTGGTTTAAAACAAAACCAGAAAGAATTTTTAAACACACGCACGCGCGTGCGCACACACACACACACACGAGCCACCATTTCAGTATCTGATTCTCTGTAAATATAAGGAGTTGTTTCACCATGTGCCACACTCAGATTTTAAACCATCTTCATGGCAGCCCCAGGATATTAACCACAAACACGAAAACAGAGGCTCCCTTCAAGCAACAGTATGACTAATGAAGTGATACAAGAGACTCTGTTTCTCAGTATAACTGCCAATACCAAATCGTTTACTTCTCCCTAAACAATTTGTCTCTTTTTCCACAAAACTGATTTACTTTCGATTATGCCCAAGATAATTTCACTCTAAATGGAGACACATAACAAATTGCCAGCAGTTTTTATTGGAATGAAACTTACTTAGCTGAACTGCTCTGATTTTTTAAGTAGTACTGAAATTAAACTGCTTGATAAGTTTCAGAACGTTAAACAGAGCTTTCCAAAGGATCAGACACCTGTGATTCTTTTCAAGTCCCTTTGTCCTGCATCTCCGTTAGACATCAAGGAACTATGCAAACAAACTAACCAACCCCACACCTTTCCAAACTACAGTCCAAAGGAACTCCACCCAAGAAACAAACTGCAATGCCACATACAGAGCAGGTGTATCCAAATTTAAGTAGGACCAGATACAACCTTAACCTTCAAAATCCAACAGCTCTTCAAGACTTTCTTCAAAATCACCCAAGCACAAGGGTGGATACAATGCATACATAATGGGTATCTGAACACCCGAGATTTTGTGCAGGTTTAACAGTACCTAGGGAGAATTAGAACCTGAAGCTGGATTTTGAAACAGGCTCAAGACTGAGGCATTCTTACACGGTCACCCCAGGGACTCCTTTCTGTCTCCCCTCCAACTCCGGGCCCTGGCTGGACCTCTTCTCAGCTCTCCTGCTTCTTCCCAAACCCTCAGTAACCTCACTCCTTAGTAGGAAACCGTGACTTCCTTCTTTACCAAATCTATTCGTTTTCCTCTCTGAAATACCATTTTTGATGCATCTAAGTTAAAAATGCTGGTTACAGAGGCTTTCTGTTTTGAGCCGTAGAATCACAGCTATCACAGAGGGAAGGGATCATCCAGCCCTACACGTCAGTTCACTAAGGCTGCTGCACCCAGAAGGCTCCATCTACTGCTCCCCTCCCCAGGGGGACAGGCTGCTGTGTAAACAGCACTGGTATTCTGGGAGGGTCAAAAGGCAGGTACACCCATGATATCCGTTTTTAGGGATGACTAGCGTAATCGGGAAAAAACTGATACAGGGTGCAAAGTGAGGTCCTTAAGGGCTAGGCGGACTTGAAGGAATTCGAAGCTGGTTCCTTCATTCAATGAGTATTAGTGAGGGCCTACCACGGGTCAGGCAGTGTCCCCGCTGCCAGCGCAAAGCAATGATGACAGATGTGGGTTCCTGCCCTCAGGAAACCTAAGGTCTAGTGAGAAAGATACTGAACAAGAGAGCTGGGCAAGAGGAAGCAGAGGAGCAGGCTGCTGTGGGAAGGGGGCTTCAAGGACAAGGCGAGCGGAGCTCCTGGAGGAGGAGAGAGACCGGACGGTGGGTCACCAGCCCACAGCTGTCTCCGCAGCAGCTCGCGATCAGGCCAGCTTTGAGCCACACCATGCCAGGTGAGAGGACCTAGACAGACGAGCTCTCTTGGTTTCCTTGGTCCCCAGGTTGCCAAGGGGAGCCACTTCTTGGCACCATTCCCTGGCCTCCGGGAAGTCGGACACATGCGGACAGCCCAGGCCTGCCAGGGGAATGGCATGTCTGGGGAGCTGACCTTCGATTCACCCTCCAGTCAGCACTTAGGATTGTGCTGGGGTTACCACCAGTGTCTTGCACGTGGTGGGCAGGCAGACATGGGGCCGGAGTCTCCAGAACAGCTGGGAGGGAACGGGAGGGTATGAGAATGGCAAAGGCAGCTTCTGGAAGCTGCCGCTGGGAAGATGAAGACCGACAAAGCTTTGCCCCTCCAGCAGGGAGAATACTGTCGAGTCTCCTCTTTCGAGGAGCCACTGTGTGTAATTGTTCATATCTTCTACATATTTGAAAGGAACTGGTGTCTTTTGTCTACACTCGCTGGCATCTTCCTGTCAATCACTGATACCCTTATGACGACCAGGCCCCACCAGTGATTAAATCCCCACCTTGCAGGTCACCACTGGGCTCTGTTAGCAAGGGACAAAGGCTGTCTGAGGGCTCCTCAGTCAGGGTTTATACCATGTGCTGCATCCCCTGTTGCCGTCCGACCCCACGTGGGGCCCTCCAGATTTGCAGATTTAATCTCCAAAAGCAGAGCCTGCCTGCCTTGTGTCTTCACAGCTAATGCTCCAATTGACCGAAACACCAGGGTCTTCACTGCGAGGAGGCAGCGGCCTCTGAGGAGAGTCCCTGGCTCCGGGTCAGCCTCAGGTGAAGGAAAGCAGGTCAGCTACTCCCTCAAACTGTATCAAGACAGAACAGGCACCAAGTGTGGGAACATTGGAGAACTGACCTGTCTGGAGATGGCAAGCTGCAGAGCCAGGTAGAAAGCTGCTTGGTGATCTGTAGGTGACAGGCTGTGGGCCCTGAAAAAGTATTTGCAGCTATTAGTACATGAGAGAGGCCATTCTTACTTTCCATGTCAAACAAGTACTCCCATTTGTATTTTTATTTATACCGAGGCCCCATACTTTTTTAAAATTAATTTTTATTGGAGTATAGTTGATTGACAATGTGTTAGTTTCTGCTGTACAGCAAAGTGAATCAGTTATACATATGTCTACTCTTTTTCAGATTCTTTTCTCATATAGGTCATTACGGAGTACCGAGTAGAGTTCCCTGTGCTACACAGGAGGTTCTTATTAATTATTTTACCAAAGGCCCCGTATTTAATTTAACTATTTAATGTTTCATTTAAACTCTTCTCTTCTGTCCACGAACAAATGGCACGCATGTTTCCTCTTGCCACTGTACACGGGAATGACACAGGAGCATGTCTCTGTTTTGTTTAGCATCTGAAATGGCAGCCAATGGGCCTTGACTTTGAGAAGGAGCCCGGGGCTGAAGAAGCCACAGGCCCCGAGGTCCGACCTCCCCAGGAGACGCCTACCTTGGGCTGAGCAGGAGAGGCCCACGTGTCACGCTGGGACACGGTGAGGCTGTGAGCATACTTGGCAAGGCGATGGCTGCTTTGGTTAAGTTTTCGCTTGGTCTTAACACTACTTTATCCAGATTTCTGGATTTCAGGGAAACCATATGAAAATCAAAGGCCCGGCTTTGCTTGTAAAATGAGGTTCTGGTTTTTTGATGAACTATAGAGAGAAATGGAGGCTATTCATTCAGTGTTCTGAAGCTTCTACTAAGTTCCATGCAGTTTAACTAATTACATGCAACCATGACATGTAAGACTTTGTGGCCAGACACCAGACTTAGTCTATCAGCTGGCTTTTGACACCAGTGGGAAGAGGCTATGCTGGCCTCCTACTTGATGGCAGACACGTCATTCTTGCTTTTATGTGGAAGTCAATTGTATCTTACCACAAGCAACTGCGGGGAACTAGGGGGTGGGGGGTGTCCTCTGTCCTTTTTTTAACCTTAAGAGCAAAACCCCCATCCCTGGGGAATCGTCACTAGTAAGTTTGCCTCCAGACACGGCCTTAGGACTCTTCTCACTTTAGTCTAAGAGGCTGAGGCTGAGGATTTGCCTGTGTTGCCCTTTGAGATGTCTTATTTCTAGCAGAGGCCTACTCAGCATGCCCCAGTTTTTATTACTTGACAGGCATTGGTTTTTCCATGAATTTGTACATCAAAGAACATTTTTCTTTGGTGTTCATAAAAAGTGAGACTGGAATGTCATGGTTTCTGTCTCTCCCAATTATTCAGGGAAAATGAATACAAAATGGATTATGAAGAGACTTTGAATTTAGCATTATTTATTTTATCTCATCTTCTTTCACAATTAAACCAGCTTTCTACAACCCTCAAAAAGAATTCCACAGAGCTATAATTTTCTCAGCACAGCCTAGATTTTTTACAAATGAAGTTAAATCAAATCACAGTTGTTTCTACCCAACACCAACCAAGTGAAAAGCTGACAATGGTCTGGTGAACTCAGGGTGTGGATAAGAATAGTTCTGACCAAAGGCCCTACCTTAGCCTCTTCAAATGATTATTAACTGTTAGCCACAGCACTAAGGAACAAACAGAAGTGCTAGAAATCTTGGCATCACTGGGGTACATTAGGACAACATCGGAAGAATCGTCAACTTGGCTAATAATGAATATCCAACAGCCAAATTTCTAATGAGGCACAACTTAAGCATACACATTTAAAAAAAAACCTTATTTCAATAATTTGGCTAATATGTTAAACTGGCCACTTTAGCCTATGAAAGAAAAAAGGAAACATGGAGATGCTCAAAAAAACTAGAAAACGTGCAAGATGTTCATCTCAGGTAGACTCCTGAAAACGTGCTCCAGTTGCGCAGGACAACTTCGGCAGCTAGGCTTCCTGTGACAACACCACATTTGTACGCCCACAGAAAACGTGCTTGACAGAAATCATCAAGCAATGCAGGTGAGAGGAAGGACATCAGGGATCTTGAAAACTGCAAGCTTGCTGGACTCCGTACATGAATTTAGAGCAGCGCTATGAATCCCATTCCCATGCTGTGAGCACCTGGTGAGGCTGCTAAGAGAAAATCAGAGACCTAAAAAATGTTACTACAAGGGATGCTCACCAAGTGTTTCCCTTGTCAAAGCACCTCCATACCCATTAATTCCATTTTTATTCCATAGGAAAAGTAAGAATTGCAAGACACTGGCCCACTGAGGGCACCCATCTATCTACCCATCCACCCATCCATCCATCTACCCCTTCATCTATCCATCCATCCATCCAACCACCCACCCACCCATCCATCCATCCACCCATCCACCCATCCACCCACCTGCCCATCCATCCATCCATCTACCCATCCATCTATGCATCCATCCAAACATCCATCCATCCATCCATCCATCCATCCATCCATCCACTCACCCATCCATCCACATTATGCAGTACCTACTGTGATGCCAGGCCCTGTGTTAACTTTTAGGGAGCTTGGAGATGAATAATACAAGTGCCTTTCCTTGAGGAGCTCCCCCCAACACCACAGAGGGGGAGACCTAAATGATCATTACAGTGCAGTACGAGCAGTGCCCTGAGAAGTGTATGCCAGACTGCTACTGGAGTGCATGCGATGGGCCTCCCAGATCACCTGGCTAAAACTTAGACTGCCCTGAGGTCCACCCCGTCATTCTCCTAGACTCTGGCTCCAACATCCTCTGGAGCTGGACCAAGAATACAGAGACAGCTGATCAATTTTGACCCTGGTCCATTAAGACATGTACCTTGTAACAATAATAACTACAATTTATGAAGCATCTACTATTAAGCATCTTGTTCGAGAACATCAAGCAAAAGAGGTAAAGCCAGAAGTGAAATTCCGAGGCCTGGTCTCTCCACCATATCACCCTGCTGCCTTATTTGGCCAATTCTCCTTGAAGTCCCCTTCAATCCTGATTACAGTAGACATGGGATTAGTGTATCATTATGTTAAGAAAGAAAAGGGCAAATCTGGTTAAATCTATTACTCAGGGACCTCCCATTACTTACACACGTAGGATGACCCACTTGTCCTGGTTTGTCCTGTATTTTCCTGGTTTTTGCACTGAAAGTCCCATATTCTGGGAAACTGCTCAGTTCCCAACAAACCGGGCTGGCTGGTCACTCCATACCCACAAAACATACCACATTCAAACTTAAATTCAAGCTAGGAGTGGGAGAGGAAAATAAAAGTGAGATTGTGAGATTGTGTCCCTTCTACCACACTGAGTGATAAACACCAGTGACACCACGTAGCCCGGATTCCTGCATGCTGGGGGGCAAGTCACTGAGACATGCGCCCGACTGTTTCCAGCCTGGCTTTTCCCTGTAGGATGTGAGAGCCCCCAGGAGCCACCACTGAGATCAATACAGCATCTTAGAAAGCTTTGCAAACAACAGTTTTTCTTCACTATAATTTTGTACAGGACATATGAATTGGTTCAGCCTCTCGGGCTGAGCTTATGAGTGTATGAACAGCTGAGGGTCTCAACATTAAGATGCAATCATGCAACTGGGATGTCTTCAAAAATCACCTCTCTGAATCCAGGAGAGAGCAAACCTTTTTGAATTCTGACTCTGGGCATAATTGAGTTAATTTTCACGCGCTATATCTGCAACCTCACCACTTTTTGAGATACACCGTTTTCTTTTTAAACAAAATTTGCTAAACAATAGTATTAACAGAATTGTGGGGAGAAGATTTAAAATATAAAGTAAGAAAATATTTCTCATCCAAGTGATTTTTAAATACTCATTTACATATAAGAAGTAATACAAATCCTTTTTATTTACTTAAAATCTTTCCCTTATAGACTTTTGTATAGTACACTAGGATAGCCCTAGTTAATGTGTACTTGAAACCAAATATTTTTATTACTTTGAAAAATATCCTTAAATACATATAAATACAAATTTAGGTTAGCCTTCCCCAATATAATCACGTAGGTTAGTAGGATTTTATTCCGCTTTATTCCCATATGAACTAATATTTAAAAAATCCCTTTGAATTAGAAACTAAGCAAAAGAGGAACAAAAAGAAATTCAGGCCAATGGAACAGCTGTTATGTAATATGAAGTTATGAATTCTGCGGCTCAAGGCAGACCACCACCATGGCTGTTTTTAGAGAGCCAGTAAGATGAGCTGATTTAAGGAAAGTGAAACAGTGAAACAGATGTAATGACCACTTTCTTAGGCATCCATGTGTGGGTTTTACAAACTAGGACTGGAAAATTTAAAACTCCAAATCATTTGAAATGGAAATGCTTTCCACACTCCGTGCTGAAGAATATCAACAAAAACTTAGCACAGAGATAGGAGGTCTGTTTGCAGCTGTCAGTTGGTACCTTCTGTCATTAACCAGTCTGGGACTGGCAGCGTGAAGGAGCTATGGGCAAGCCTGCTAGGAAATGGAAAGAAAAGAGATGAAAGTGTTTCAGAAACCAAGTGATAATGATTTCGTGATAAAAAGGAGCATGTACACTGTGACAAATCTGCAGGCAACCCTAGTTCTAAGGAAAGAAATCTAACAACGGTTATTAGGTATTGAGAGGTCCTCGTAAAACTTTTTGGTTAAGTAACTAAGTTTCTAATATAATTCCAAGAAATCAAGTAACTCAGATATATTTAAGGTGACAGGATCAATACCAATTCTAGATTGGACATCATGGGGCTATACTTTCAAACAGTGATTCATGTTAGTGATTTATTATGCCTGCAATAAGAAGAAAATGAGGGAAGTGTGGTGTAGTAGGTACCAGAGAAGCCAGTCAGCGTCAGAGACCTTGACCTTCCGGACTTCAATAGCTACAGGACTCCGGCTCTTCATCCCTGCATCTCGGTCCCTCACCTGCAGTGAACACACGACTTGTTCCATCTGCCTTATTGGTGTGAGGTGGGATCAAGTAAGGGGTGTGAAAGGCCACTGTGACATGCAAGCGGTCGCTAATTATAAGGCCTTCTCCTAATTTCATGAAAGGTACAGTGATGGAGATAAGCATAAGGTATTACAGAGCATGGAGAGGATGGAGAGGCCTGGGACCTGCCGGCCTGACTGTCTTATAAGTATTTCAGAGACTGCCCTAAAATCTGGCCTTTTCATTTCGTAATATAAAAATCTGCAGATTGACATGTTAAAAAAAAAAAGGTTGCAAAGAATGATCCTTTTTCTAGATGATAAAAAATGTCTTTAATAAAAGCAATCATCTCCCTAGACATAAAAAAGTACCTCTCTTAGAGCTGAAATCGCTTTATTAGGAATGAATAAAATGTGCCCGAATGAATAAACAGATCAAGGACGCAGATTTACATGGCAACAAGTGATGCAGCAAGTTTTATACTGTCTGTTCGGTACTCAAGAGGAAAGACTCCCAGGGGTAAAACACTGTTTACATAATCTTTATAAATATCTCTTCTTTTTATACTTATCATACTTTGGTGTCATTATGTACAGCCGAGTGAAAAGATGAACTCCCACTCACCTCTGAAATGCAAGAAGCGCCTTTCTCTGTAGGACCTCCTGCATCCCTCGCAAAGAAGCTAAGAAAAGGGTTCGATTAGTCAGTGGCATGGGAGATCAGGGAGTTTCTGACAAATAGAAAACTCATCACAAAAACTAAACATTTGACTGGATTAAGAGCAACAAATTCTGGGAGCTTATGTGCCCAGTCCTGTCCCAGGCACTGTCGAGGATGGGAAACGAAGGCTGTGTAAGCCTGAGGCCCTTGCACTTGTTGGGCATAACTGTGGAACCATGCCAAGGCGAGAGTGAGAGTTGGCTGGTCACTCTTGGTACCCCCAGGAATAGCAGCCTGTCTTCAAAAGACCAGCTGGGAACTCCAGAGAGGAAAACATTCTCAAGGGCAGGCATGTAATTCACGGGTGAAGAATGGCTCTGCCAGAATGGAATAGAAGAGATTCAAGCACCAGTGGGTGGATTTGACGGCCTTCAGAGTTCCTTCTGGCACCGAAAACCAAGGACACTAGCCTGACGCCATGGAAGGCCAGTTTAATTCACGGAGGCAATGGCTAGGACTTTTAATGCCTTGATGTGAACAGCAGGGACAGACAGGGCAAACCCAACACTGATACTGGAAAATCAGCTCAACACTTCCCCTGTAGACAGCATGTGAGAAATGCCACCTTAGAGTCTTGTAGAAACTAAAAAGGTACTTTTTACTGGGACAACAGAAAAAGTCCTAGAGGAACCTATTCACGGGTGCACCTGGAGATGGTCCTTATCTAACAAATCCAACATGGCAGATCCCATCCTGACATCGCTCTGAGGATGGTGGAAGGCTGCCCAGAGCTGGATGTAGCTGTAAGCCATGACTAACTTAGAACAACAGTGAATGAGCTAGAGGCACCCAGAGAGCTGTCCCAAGAGAACCATGGATACAACAGGATACATGAGACCCAGCAGGGTCACGTGACTCTCCCAAAATTACAGGGCTAATTAGGTGTAGAGTCTCAACTAAGAAGTTATATGGATAAATATATGGTATGAAATTTACCCTTCACTGAAAGCCTACTATAGTAAAAAAAATGTTCTGCGTATTGCCAGTATATATGAAAAATTAGCAAAAAAATCCATGATTGAAAAATCAGTTGATATGCAAAACTTCTCCAGGGTCTTTGACATTTTAGGGCAGAGGAAAGAAAGATTTGGGGTAACGTGTAAAATAAACTATAGCGAAATTACAAAGAAAGCAAAAGAAAATGAGTACCATAAAAGTCAGTGTAGTGCTTTCTCTTAAGGGGGCTTGTGATTGGGAGGGGCACCTAAAGGGCTCCCAGGTAGCTGGCAAGGTTCCATCTCCTAAGCAGGGTGCTGCTTATAAGAATACTTTCCCTTATACTAATTCACTGAGTTGGACAATCATTTCTGAGATTTTTTTTTGGTATTTTTGTTACATTTAACAACAAAATGTAAAAGGAATAATAGAAAGAGTTCAGAAAAACAATTTACCAATTTACCTTTTCTGCAAACATATAATTGAAAACTCATTAAGTATAGAAAACATAATTAAGATTTTTTTTTTTTTAGCCGGAAGCCCATCCACCGAAACAGTAAATACATCCCAAACGTGTAATGTTACTGCATGTGCTATGAGCCGCTATACTACACATGTACGTATCTGTGAATTAAAATGTGCAAATGGGGACTTCCCTGGCGGTCCAGTGGTTAAGACACCGCGCTCCCACTGCAGGGGGCATGGGCTCGATCCCTGGCTGGGGAACTAAGATCCCACACGCTGCACGGCATGGCCAAAACATAAATAAATAAAAAAGAGTTGTTTAAAAAAAAAAAAAAAAGTGCAAATGGAGAAGGGGCAGGTACTGATAAATCAAGGGATGCTCTCTGGAGGAGGTGGGCCCTGAATGCTTAAGCCTAAGCATTCCTAGCCTAAGACCCAACATCCCTCCACATGGGGAGAGCTCAGGCCAAGCGCTGGGGCAGAGTCAGGTGGAGGCTGGGCGGGGTGAATTCTCTCTCAGGGCCCTGCTCACCTCACTCCTCAAGACAGATCCCTACAGCTGCCAGCTGGGCACCACCAGCACAGTGCACCTGTGAAGAGGGCCTGGGAGCCGGGGCACAGGGCCTGCATTTCTTCCCTCCCATTCTCCGACCGGTCCAAGCAAAGAGGACAGCGGTGGCAGGTCCCCACAGGACGGCAAACGAGGAACCAGCCATGTGCCCTCCTGAGACAGGGGATGGGCCGGTCCTGCAGTGCAGACTTGGTGGCTCCCCAGCTCCCGTGGGCGGGGACTTCGCTCACCGTCAGTGGCCTGCAGACTGTATGTAAGCCCCAGGGCCAAGTAGCCTTTGGCCTTGAACTCTGACGTTTTCTCTCCCGCATCAATGACGGTTTTGGCAAACTTCTCAGCCTCTTCCAACTGAAAAACCAGGTAAGTTAAAAACAACACCAACATCCTGCAGAATTTCTAACATGAGTTCCCATAAGCATCTGCTGTCCTAAGCAATTTCTGATGAGTCACTGTGAAAATAACTCCCAGATCTTCCAGTTCCACTCTGGTGATTCTGTTTTCTGTATTTCAGCTTCTCAACAGTCCTCAGGATTCCCACCTTGCCTTTTTGCTTTAAACCTTTCCTTATTGCTTTTTTGCCCTCTTTTCCAAGGTCACTTTCATACTTGGTGGGGCTCTTTGTCGTCTCTGTTTTTCACTGATTGGCTCTGTAATTAGATTGTGCTAGGTATTCAGAAGTTATATATATATGTGTGTATAATTTGTAAAGAATAAAGTTCTTGAAATATTTTGTGCTTGGGTCTTTCCTTTTTTGCATGACATAAAGAATCTTTTAGGCTTGGATTCTCTTTCCCACAAGCTGTTAGAAATTTCAAAACTCCATCTATTTATTTTACAGTACACCGCACACAGACCTCGCACTGGCAGGTTCCAAGGGGAAAAATGTGCACCTGTAAACTACACCCACAATAAGACCTTTTGCACAACTCACTAGAGGCAAAAATAATAAGATTTGCTCCTTCGGGGTATGGTAAGTGTTGATGTTATTGAAGCTGGGTGATAGTACATGGATGATAGTTGATTATACTCCTTACTTTTGTGGTATCTGGAAATTTTAATGATAAAAATGTAAAAAAAATACAGAAAAGATTTGTTATTCTCATCTTGTAAAAAAGAGTCAGGTTTATGTTAGGTGTTATGGTGATGAACGATGCCATCGCTGGAAGGAGTGTGGCAGAGTCACAGCTGGAAGCTGGCATTTTCAAAACCGAAAGATTCGGTCCACTGCTCCAGCCACTCTCAGAGCCTGCCTGCATGTCCGCTCACTTGCCACACCAAAGTGTTAAAACCTGCACGGACCACACAACACCTCCACAGCTGTGTTTCAGGTGAGAGCCACATTTCAAAATGTGTTTTTTCTTCCACACCTTCCCAAGAAAAATTTGACCAAAGTTGGGCACTTTCTTCACAATGTTTACTTTCGCCCTGCTGGGTGAGAATAAATGGAAAAAAACGAGCAGCAAGGACCATAATGGTAAAAAAACCTCAGCCAGGTGTCTCAGTCTTTTGGGCAACCTCTTCTTATCACTAACCTTGACATGAATTTAGAGAAAGACATTCAAACTCCATCGTATGTGGCGATCGATTGAGTTTTCTAGTTTCTGCTCAAACAGTACGTTTTTGAGGTACTACACTTGTTACAAATCAGGCTCTTCCCAGATTCAAAGCTGAACAAGAACATTTGAAGCGGAAAAGCCTCTGTGCAGGAAGAGGAATGAAGGAAGTTGGGTTTACACATAAGCTAACGTAGAGGTTGACTCTTGGCTTTACAGAAAAGCTCAGGCTCTCCTAGGAGGGAATCACTGAGTGACATAGACTTTTTCAGTCCCATATGACTTACACACAGGATGCATCTGAGTAGGAATTCCATCTTACCATTCCTACTTTTGAAGCGCATTCCCATGAAAAAGAAACACCTGGAGTTGTACTGATTTCCCGAAGTCCTTGGGGTGGGGTTGAGGCCTGAGGAGGGCTGTAGCCCGGCCCAGAAGCCCGGGGCTCTGAACAGCCTTGCTTTTGTGTAGCTGATGAACTGCTACTATTTCCTCTCTGCCTAGGAATCAAAAGGGTGGCAGCCCCCGCACACATGGAGGGCCCCAGCCCCACTCACCCAGTGAAGGGAGCCCATGCACAGCTTTGCGGCCAGAAGCGGGATGGTGGCGTCGTCCGGCTTCAGGCGGATGCACTCTTTCAGCACCTTCACCGCGCGAGCAGACTTGGCAAAAGGAGATCATTTCTGTGAAACTCAAAATTTTTGACAGAACCAAACACTAAAGCCTTCCCAGTGGGGTTTCTGGTTAGGATACCCTCTTAATGAGGTTTTCCAACTTTCACCCAATGAAGCAAGGGCCTGGGGATGGTGATAACCTGAGCTTGGAACTTTTGGGGGGACCGGGGAGTAAACTGCGGTTAAAACAAGTGAAAACGCTGCCCCGGAATCCCCCTAGTTTTATTCCCTACTTGTGTAGCCATTGTAAAAGTAAGAAAAAAATAAAGACAGTGGAGGTTTACATTATTATAAAAAAGAAACTATCTAATTGAAAGCATACCACTTCACTTCGCCCAAATAATCTTGTGTCTCAGACTTTACAATTCACTAAAGGGCCCAAATTAACAAGAATAACAGTGGCTATTATCTTTATTGAGTGTGTTCGTTTTGGGGGTCCTATGCTAAACACCTTGTGGGTATCATCTCACTACCTGATGACAATTCTGTGAAGTCGGTACCATTTCTCCATGAGACGGAAGAGGAAGCTGAGACACTAAGTGACCTGCCATGGGTCACACGGCTTCGAGGTCAGCACCAGGCCTCTCTCTCCACAGCCCTTGCTTTCAGCCAATACCATACACTGTGTCATATCACATCTTGCTAAAGATAATTAGCAGAGTTCCCCTGCCAGGAATAGTTTACACTCTCAAATGAGTGAAAGGGGTCAGTGTGAAGAACTGACCTGAGTTTTAAGCCACAGCTTCAGATAAATAAAGTTACAATGACTAGAAAAAGGCAAGAATTTCAAAATTTTCTTCTCAATGATGTGTCCATGTTGGCCCCCAAATAATTAAATTCGATCGCTCATTTATAAATGACCACAGGACGGTTTCAAATAGCTGGTGTAGACATCTACCAGGCATCACGTCATCCCATGAAATTCAAGTTAACCATCAACACAGAGGATTGCATGTCACAAAGGGAGACTCACTTTTCCAGCAGCCATGAGTGACAGAGCAAACTGGTACCAGAGGTGGAACTCCTCAAAGGCAAACTTCATGGCTCTTTCTAAGCACTGGTTTGGAAAGAAGAACAAATGCAGACAGGTAAGAATTGCCGGTGGCGCAGCTGGGCAGGTGTGAGCGTGCGTCTGTGTGCACTAAGAGCAGTCCTACCACATCTGCTTCCCTGGAATGCTTAAAGCACCCTGCTCCTCCGAACCCTCCCGAGGTGCCCCCCGAGGCAGCCCACTGGGCCAGAAGCCGGGGGCAATCCACAGCTGACTACAACACAACCCTTGATCCCAAGTAGCTTTTCATCCAATACAGGCAAAGAGGCAGGTACACCAACTACTCAAATACAAGGTTCCAACTGACAAGCGCCCCAAGAGGAGGAAACAGAAAGTACTGTGGGAAAGTGGTCACGGGCATCAGGAATGGCATCCTGGAAGACTGGTACTTGAGCCAGTTTTGTTGGATGAGAAGGGAGAAAACATAGCTAGGATTCGGAAACGGTACTCTGGGAAGAGGGGGGACAAACAAAGACGTGGAGGCACGAAAGAGGATGCTTCGAGGTGACAAGTGGTCCAGTATAAACACAGCTGAGGGCACGGGCGTGGCTGGGGCCGCGTCACTGAGAGTCCGACATGGCGGCTCCTTGTCTGAGTTGTTCCATCTCCCTCCCCCTCCCCAGCTTTGGTTCTCCCTCCTCTGTGTTCCCAGAGTTCATACCTGTGTTAACGTGATGTCTTCACCTGCCCCAGCCCAGCCCAGTCCAGCCCAGTCCCACTCTGAGAAACTATCCAGGGCAGAGATCCTGTCTTCTCTGTCTCCTCAGTGCCCGCCCGAGGCGGGAGATCTATAAATGCAGGTCACTCAGTCCATGAGGAGCCTCTGGTTTCTGCACAGTGACACGACCACGTCAGAACCTAAGGGAGATCATGGGATGAGGGGGGTGTATGATGAGGGGGGTGTATGACCAGGGTGGATGAAGGCCAGGAATAAGGTGGATAGAATGGTCCAGGGACTTCAGAAACAAGGACAGAAGCAAGAAACGTGTCTGAATTAGAATCAGCAAGGAAGGGCCACCCAAGGAAGGAGCGGGCGGCTGGTGAGATGTAGGGAGTGAAGGGGGCCCCCAGAGTCTTCGGCCTGCATACCTGGGAGAAAACCCAT